CCTAGTACTTATATATAATTATATTATTTCATCCTAACAGCCTATTTCATCACGTGACCAACACATGTTATCATATATCTGTTATCACTACCGTACTCACACCATAATATTATTATTGGGTCCATTATTTAGATTAATAAATAATGAAAAAAGGCTTTGGAGAGATTCGAACTCTCGATCTCCGTCTTACATTCTGGTGCCTTACCCACTAGGCCACAAAGCCATTATACTAAACATATGATTCCTAACATAATATATAGCTATACGAATATCTGATACTTATAAAAATATTAATCAGGAATATATTATTATTATATACAACAACACGGGGAAACATACATCCGCCGTATCTCATGACCAAGACATGTTATCATCACAGATATAGATAATAACTAGATAGCTAACTCCCTATAATCCATTAAGAAAAAATTGAAGTCGACAACCATTTGCATGTTGGGCTCAAACGATAGTAAAATATCGATATTTATTATATCGATAATAATATTATCGATTTATTTATCGATAGTGATGTTTTGATATTAGAAATGATTAGAATAATAACATTATCAACGGTCAATTAATATTTATTACTCAGTTATTATAATTTATAATATGTTAACGTTTTCTAACGGATACGCAACTACGCCATTCACGTCTTAATTGTCACAAAAAGTATTTGTTTTTGGAATTCTTTCTTTTTTAAATAATTTTTATTTCATGTTCCTAAATACAAATTGTGTATAGTGCATTTAGAATACATCAAAATGGTTTAAAAATGTTCAGTTTTTGCTTGTGATTCAAAGTATACCCCTAATAGTGATTTACATTTTTTTTCGTAAGTTTTAAAAATTTACCATTATACAGTTATACCTTAGTGACTAAGGCTAAATATTAATTTTAAATTATGTATTTGATTTCAGATTTCCATTAAAGAATCCTGAATTACTTCAACAATGGATACTGGCAACAAAAAAAACCAATTTTGTTCCAAGTAAATGGAGTAAAATGTGTAATAAACATTTTTTACACAGTGACTATAAACAACCTCCTGGTGGCACTTATGTTTTAAGGCTTAAATATGATGCTGTTCCAACGGTTTGTTTACCATCATCGTCATTACCTCCGGTCAAAATTCATGTCCTAGATGAAGTACCGAATATATTAGAAAATGTTAATGAAAGCGGTAATAGTGAGAGTAATATTGTTACAACAGAAACAAATGTTGTTGAGTATAATTCTGAAAATGAAATACCTGAAGTAACATTACCAATCTTGATTACTCCTACAAAAGCAAAGGCAAT